AAGTTCGTAGTGCTTAATGCTTGATTTGATTATGATTCCGGTGCCGCAGTGGGCCTTTCCGCTGGGCTGTTGGGTATGGTAGGATTTCTAACCATTTATTTTCAGGTAGTTTTTGTCGGTGAAGTGGGTTTCCGATACGAGCATTACGTCGATTTGCTGGTGTTTTAGGTAGAGTTCTAGTTCAAATTTGTGTTGCGCTAGACCGTTGGCATTCCAAAGAGCTATGCGTCTTGGTTCTATTTTGCGTCGAGGCGCAATAATTAATCCATGATGGGTGTTAATAGCGATAGCAAATTTTTATTTGCTCCTATTGTTTCTCTATTAGCTTTTCAAGCCTAGAGACGTTGTCTGTGTTAGGTGAATTGGGAACATTATTTTGAGAAAGATCCCTTTGGCTATTCGGATTATTTTGGATGCCTTGTACTGCTTGGGCATAGGAGGTTGAGGTAGTGGTGAATTTTGTAGGACTGGATATTTGGTTGGTTGAGGGGATTGGGTTAGTCGTGAATTTCGGCGGGCTGGGTATTTGGTTGGTTACCTCTTTTACTCTGAGTTTAGGGTACTTGTTTGTGTACAGGGTTTTGTAGGCTGAGCAGCCTTTGAAGTTGGCAGAGTCGTCACCTTGACAGTGGATGCACTTCGCTGGGGTTTTCGGTAGTTTACTGCATTGGTCAGTGGGGTGTGTACCTGCACATTTAACACAGCGGAATGTATAGTTACAGTATCTTTGCGTGTGGCCGTACCTTTGGCACCTTTTGCATTGAACTATCTCTTTTTTGACAAGCGGTGGCTCGAATTTAACTATTGCGTTCAATAGCCGACTGATTTTGTAGACTTCTTTGTTGTTGGGTTTTGGTTTTAAATCTAAGAAGAATAAGGATAGCGGGTCTTTCGAGACTCTATGCGTTATGTTGCTGACGTTGATGACTTCGTGGCAGAGTTTTAAGAGTTCGAATTTTAGTTCATCAATGTCTGCTGAGTGGTGGATGTTGCGTAGAACCACCCGGAAAGGCCTTTCTTGTTTGAGTTGGTAAGTGTGGAAGTTGGCATTCAAGGTCCTAAGTAGCTTGGTGAGTTTTCTGTATGCATCTGGGTTTGTCGGCAGAATTATTACCTTGTTGTTGTTTATCCTCAGGTTGTAGTCCTCCTTGGAGATATCTCTCTCTCTAAGGACTTGCTCATCGTTTGTATGTCAATGACATCATCAACAAATATTGGTGGGGGAGGGCGGATTCTCTGTGCGTGTTGGTTTGGCGGCGGTTCTGCGATTTCCATGGCGTCGTTTGTGGATTCCAATACGGCGAGCCTGTTGTGGGTGTTTATTTGTATTGTTGATTGTTCGTTCCGGGTGTCGATCGTGTTTGATTTTGGTGTTTCTATCTTTCGCTTTTTTGTATTATTGGCGTCGTTGGTACGGGGGGATCTGCTGCACCTTTGCCACGGAGGAGGTAACGCGGGGTAGTTGCGAATTTGCTCGGGAGAGCCTGGTCGTGATTGCTGGGCCATCATCAAGCTAGTTAATTCAAAATGAATAGTCATGAGGCTATGAGGCTAGTATTCGGGTTGGGGTTAGGTGCGTGGGATTTTGTTCTCCCTAAAGGATAGGAAACACTTGGCTGTGTTCACTTTCGACGGTTGGGCGGCACGTGTTTTCGATCTTCACTGGGCACTAGAGACACTAGGCTTGCTCTGCGCTGACCGTAGTCCTCTCGTCTAGTTTCACCATAGTGGAACGTTGAAAATTGCTGCAGGGCTTCGTAGTTAGATTCGCAGTTCTCCGCTGATCCTTCAATCTTCAATGATGCGCGTACGCCGAAATTGTGATTTCGTTTACACCGAAGCTAATGGATCTTGGCAGGATCGCCAAAATATCACATAAAATTGATACTTGGGTTGTAAGAGAAAAAGAAAGCTGAGTCGTAACCCAACTATTATTTTTATTTTATCCAACTTTATTATAATTTTAGCACTTACAATAACTGAACCGTAAAAAGGGGTTTGTACAAGAACAGCGGCTAGAACAAGAACTGCCCGAGCTGGGTGAAGTCTCGGTTTATGTACGTTTTGGTTTGAGGATGTTGAGGGGCTCGGTGTAGGTTATGATGTAGAAAAGTGTCCGAAGGTCGGGGGTCAATATTCTATCTCTGATGTGGCCTAAGGTGCGTCACAGCCTTGGTGTAGGCTATGATGATAAGGTGGTGATGTATCCAAAAGAGTCCGAAGCTTGGGGTTGATGTCTTATCTCTGATGTAGGTGGAGATGTGATTGATGTCACACGGGCAACGGCGCGAATTACAATTCCTTGTATCAGAAGATTTCTTTCATGTTGAGTTAAGTCAAGACAAACATTTACGCATTGGGGACAAGATGTCGCAGGTTGGAGTCCTGCTACTTGTATAATCACATAGTCTACAGCGCACTGTTTGAATTCATCCGCATAAAAAGTGTGTTGGCGGGTCCTCGTATAGATGTTGTTAAATATTTATTTCTTCATTAAAAATATAATTTATTTGCAAGGTATAAAGGTTACTACATGTACGTATTGGCGTCCCTAGTATGTAGTGACTTTTATTAATATCGAATTAATTGTCTATCTATTAATTATTTTCAGCTTTATTTTAGTAGATGACGTGTAATTCGAATAGGATTAATGTTATTTTATGTTTATAATAGTGTATATAATTACCGAATGTATTTCATTGCGCATACGTGAGAGCTGCTTCACGCTCGCGACGGATTTCCAAAATAGCTACTTGTGTACGTCTTGAATAAGGGTGTGTTTTTTTTAATTTTGTTTGATATTGAAATAATTGTTTTGTTACTTAGTTTCAACTCTATTTTAGTGAAGTGGTCAACAATGTTGTTTTATGTTCGTTGTGATGTGTACGTTTGTTTTAACGTCGGAGATGAAAGAACATCGGAGCCTTCCCTTTGGAACTTCAGGATAATCCCCTAACACCGTAATCTAGATTCTATCATAGGCGTAATTAAATAATTGTCGTCTTTTGATCCGATTGTATTTTTTCGAGATTTGTGATAATGAGCTTGGGCTCGAGGCGATAGCCAGTCGCCGAACGTAGCCGCGGTCACGGAATGAACGCTGTGCCTGACGAAGGTGTGGATCGGTTGTATGGCTCTCCCTAGAAATGTGGTTGCGGAGGCCTCAAGAACGGGCCTGGCCACATAGAATTGTACTTTGGAGATGTCGATATAATGAGACACACGTTGTATTAGGAATCAAACTTCAGACAGAAACTGCCTAGCAACGGCGTTTGGAACTTTCTCCATGCTTCCAAAGAGTATACAACAAACTCTTGGCAGAAACTGCCTAGCAACGGCGATTGGAACCTTCTCGATGCCTCCAGCGAGTATATAACAAACAAATGCAGTCGTACAGCGAAAAAGATTTTCATCAGATATTCATTCGTGTGATCGCCTTGGAAAGTGATACATCGAGCAATTTACTGAGTGTTACAGCAATCGTATTTTTTTGTGTTTAAAATTATTCTACGCATAGTAAAGAGTTATCCCGTTGACCGTGGATTCGTTTGAACCCAGGAACATTGTTAATAACGTTTACTAAACTCATTATTCGTTAAACTTATTATTCGTTAATCTCATTATTCGTTAATCTTATTATTCGTTAATCTTATTATTCGTTAAACTTATTATTCGTTAAACTTATTATTCGTTAAACTTATTCGTTAATCTAATCATTAGTTAAACTTATTGTTTGTTAATCTTATTATTCATTAAACTCCATATTCATAATATTTTGTAAAATCTTGTATATACGCGTAAATATAATCTCTGTTGTGTAAAACGATGGCTAAATCAAACGAAGAATAGTTACGCGCCTTAAATTCTAATGTTAATCCGACATATATATATACTGTGTGTTATTTTAATGTAATAGCATGTGGATTATATCGTTCTCGAAATTATTAATTACTAATAGAATTGTTTCATTGTTTGATTATAAGGTGGTTTGTGTTTACTGGTTTAATTTAATGTATGCATAGTGTATTGTGTCACCAGTCACTATTGTGTAATATAACCTTATTTCTTTATGCCAGATTTAATATAATAATACTATAGTAACTCAACACAATATAATAATTTCTAATTTTAATCATGTTTGGTCATCAATATTCAGCTAATCTATCTTGATTAATTTATAGCTTATTTCTATATTTATTAGCTATTTCTATTTCTTTCCTATTAATCTGTCGTTACTTCGTACTTGCGATTTATTGTTATTTCATATTTGTATAGTATAAATTTTTGAGCTAATCTATGTATTAGTAGTTAAAACCTGTTTATTGAATTATTATTGTTTGTAGTTTCTCAAATTCTATTCCTTCGATGATGCATTGCTTACTTGGAACATTTATATAGTGAGTATTTGGTATCGTCTGGTTCTTCGTTATTCTCTAAACACTTATTTTACTTTTATTTATTCTATATCTGTAAGTATGTATAACTTTATTTCTTTATATTAAATTTAGTATAATAACACTATAATAGCTCAATGTAATATAATAATTTCTTATTTTAATCATGTTTATCGTTGATGCTTAGTTAACCTGTCTTGATTAATTTCTAATCTATTTCTATATTCATTGACTATTTCTGCTTCCTTTTGTTAGTTTGTCATTACTTGGTTCTTGTGATTTGTTGTTATTTCATATTTAAATGGTATAATTTTGGAGCTAATTCATATATTATTAGTCAAAGCTTGTTTATTGGGTTATTATTGTTTTATAGCTTCTCCGATCATGTTCCTTCAACACTGCATCACTTACATGGAACATTCCTGCAGTACGTACAGCATCATCCGGTTCTTCTTATGTTCTAAATACTTACTATGGATATCTTTATTCATCCTATATTTGTAAGTATAAAAATGTCATTTAATTAATTTAATTTAATACGTGGGTATTGTATTGTATCAATTATCGCTATTGTGTATTATAAAATTTATTTCCATATGTCAGATACAATAATTTAACAATATTATATAGGTTAATATAGTATAACACCTTCTTATTCTAGTCATATTTATTATTGACATTCAGTTAACCTATCTTAATTATTCTATAAGCTCTTTCTACACTTATTAACTAATTTTGTTTCATCTTATCGAAGTTGCGTCAGTGTTGACTTATTTGTAGTAATGTCACATATTTTCTTGATCTTTGAGTTTTCTTTTCCATTGGACAACCGTAAATCTATTGTCGAACAACAATCATTGACTGTTATCGTGCTTCTTTTAGTTTAATTGTAATATTGTTGTAAATTTTTAATAATATTATTTTCTTTCATATATGTCAAGGCAATTAAGGTTAGTTTATCCATTCCGTTTCAGCTGACAGACGCATATTATGTTCTATGGAGTGGATCCATAATTTGTCTCTGTGGAATTCCTGCATGTATACTTCCTTCTACGATCATTAATCGTGCACTAGGTACTTTTCACATTCACTGCCTTTAGTTATTTTATTGAATTAACATGTTTTATATTTAAATAATGGTTAGAACACACATAGTAATTTTCCTTTTGTCTTTTAGGTTTCCACTATCTACACTATTCGATAAGCAGTGTCACACTTCCTTTGGCTTAACCACAATATTGTTATAAACATTTAGTAATATTATATTTTGTATTAAGACAATTGAGGTTAATTCATCCATTTGTTTCAGCTGACTGTCATACATTATGTTCTATGAATATGAACCTATAACCTGTCTTCGCACATACACTTGCTTCTATGATGAGCAATTGTTCGCAAGGTACTTTTCACTTTCACTGTTTTGTAATTATTTTATTGAATAACACATTTTATATTCAAATAATAGTTAGAACATACATAGTAATTTTCCTTTTTCTTTTAGGTTTCTACTATCTGCAGTATTCGACAAGCAACATTATGCCATACACCACTGTACTACATTGCCTCTTGAAATCATTCTGGTGGTCTACTTCGATGATGTGTTAGTTGTAACTTGATCAAGTGTACTGTTCGTGGAATCCCTTTCACTTCAATCTTGACGTTTCGTGTGTGGATTTTGACAATAGTGCTTGGTTTATCGAAGTGTGATAATATGCCTAGGTGTTTTATATATTTTATATTCCGTTGTATATAAGATGTATTTTGTTTATTGTAGATTTTGTATGTCCATATTTGTTATATATTAGATTGTTTGATATTTCGTATTTGTTACGTCGGTTGACATTCTACCTAGACCAGGCCACACACCGCGGGCCAGACGTAAACCAGATGTCCGCTCATCCTCGCTGTGTACCCTAATATTCTTGAGGACCCGTCATAAATCTAAGCAATTCGCTAGCTAAGGTCCTTCAGACCCAACAAACATCTGTTTTCCGACTCATTTCTAAAGACCATTGTCCTACTACGGCTTGACAAGGGAAAGTTAGTTTTTCTCACGTATGATGCAACTTTCCTCCCACTAACCACTTTCTCTCGAGGGCAGCTAAGACCCTTCCTAGTCCACCAACCTTTATTTAACCAATTAACAACAAAGCCTATTTCCCTCACTCTCTTAGCCAAAATCGTCACCAACAAATCCGATGGTCCCGTGCGCTAGACACACCCATCCTTAGCTTTCCTCCGCCACAGCATCGTCTCCGAAGACAACTGATTTTCCATCCTTCGAACAGTCAACATCCTTCGACCGGGAACACACCCGTAGATCAGTCACTCACTCATCTTATACATGCGCACCAGCGTAACTATCTTCTTTACAAGTTGTTAGAATAAACGGTGATATATAACTTACTATACAGTGTTACATTCATTTAACCACCTCTGTTATCTTAACCGAAACATTCGATTAAACGAAAACGTCGATTAAACGAATCGTAGCGAGAATTTACGCCTCTCGCTGACTCGTTTTCCTAGCGACCGCGTCTCTCCGCGAACGGTCGTAACAGTATTTGTTATAAAAGTGTATAGTCCTATCGTTCCATTCCTCTTCCCTTTCCTTTCGGATTATTCATGATGCCATTGCGAAATTTAATTAAATTGTTGAATTGTAATTCATCCATTTGTTTCAAACCAAACCTCTAACCGACCTGACAAAGAAAGACACACCCTTTCATTGGACAGACAAACAACAAGATAGCTTTCAAACTCTCAAAAACGCATTATGCAGAGCCCCAGTATTGACATATTCCAAATTTAACGAAACATTTACATTAACAACCGACGCCTCTAACAAAGGAATAGGCGCTGTTCTTTCACAAAACGATCATCCTTGTTGTTACATCTGCAGAACACTAAATCCCCCGAAAGAAATTACTCAACCACTGAAAAAGAACTCCTTGCAATCGTATGGGCAGTAAAACGTTTGAGACAATATTTGCTAGGAGGACATTTTCTCATAAGAACCGACCATCAAGCTTTAACTTAATTTAAAAATTGCAGACCCCTCATCACGATTAATTAGATGGAGATTAAAGCTAGAAGAATACGATTAACCAAATTAAGAAGATACATGGTAACAGAATTAAACCATACATTTCAGGACGCTCATCTCATGCACAACCCTCGTGCTCGGATTGGAATTAATACCGATAGAAAATAATGCAATTTTCCACGAGAAAATATTAGTCTATTAGTGTAATAGCCTATTAGTGTAATGAAAAAGTTAACGTATATGTCGCGTCAGGTACCGAGTCTGGGCCCGAGTCGTCCTCGTAGCGGGGGCTTGGGACAGGTAAGGATTCCTCACTGAAGCGATCCATGTTTTCTTTTACACTGAAGTTATTTTTATTGACACACGGGGTTGTTACAGAGTTGACACAAGCTCGCAATGACCACACACTCGCGACGCTGGTGACAATGGTCTTAGGTTCGATAACGAGTCCGCGGACAACAGGACGGTAGTCGTATGCACTCGCAAAAATCTAAGTCGGATTCTGTGTTGATATTCACTGAACGTAAGGCGTTAATCCCTTTTTGTCGGTGAGGTCGCAAGAGAGAATGACTTTCCGTCCCGGTGACACCCCAGAGGAAAACTATGACGGGGTGTGTCTAAGGGCACGAGATCATCGGATTCGTCGGGGATATCACACGTTCGGAAAGTAAGGGAAATTGACGTTGCTGCTAATTGGCCAGTCACCATATCGGGAGTTA